AACTAACAAATTCCAGCTTTCCACTATTTTTTTCTCATATGTTTAAGTAAACCACATTAAAATGTGCCTTAGATTTTAAAAGAGTATTTTCTTTTGGAATGGGGACAGCCCCAACTGAACATCATCAGAATAGAAAAAAAATGCTACAAACACCTTTTTCCACACTATTTTATAATTACCTCACTCCGCAAAAGAAGGTAGTGACCTTTTCTATGGGAACAAAGAGGTTCTAGTACTGTGGCCTGTTGAATATTTTCCAGATTGTGGCCTTGGTCACTTAAACTAAGACAAGACAGCTTCTCTGCTTAGAATCATAAATTTAGTTTGCAAATAACTGTTCTCACTTCAGGAAAAAAGTAGTTACAGAAAACAGTGAAAATAATAGTACCTACTTGTAGACATGTAATAGTTGTGAAGACAGAAATTTCTTTACCATAAAAGATACTTCAGCACTTTCCAAGCCAGTCCACAATGAGCACAGTGTTATTTTTTTAAAATCCTATCTCTGTTGTTATTGCACATGACATATTGTACTGTACAGTGTGTGGTGATGAGAAATTCCCTGCTTATTTAATTGTGATCCTTCAATGAATTTGAAAGGGAGCACTTTATTTCCATTTCTTTAATTTACTAGTTCTTTAGCTGATGATTTTATTAACTCTTGTATTTGAGAACTGATGCTTAACAAAAAAAGGGGAAGGAAAAAAGGCCTTTGGCAGTATTGTGAAGGCCTGGAACTGAATAATGCACTTTAATAATGAGGAATAGAGCTATGGCTTTTGCTGATGGCTGTGACCGGCTCTGTGACCTGATTATGTCGCAGAGTGTCAGCAGCTGAGACACTACAAAAGGGAGCGCATCCCATCAAATCTATCTCCATTGTAATCACTCGTACTGCTGAGAGGCTTGTTAGGAGCAGGGAATCCATCAGGCCTCATTAGCACCGTTTACCATCAAGAAGCTCAAAGAGCAAATGTGTACCCTCTCATCAGAATAATGAGAACCAAAGTACTCCTATTATCTAATTGGATCAACAATGCCTCTCTCTCTATTTATTTTCCTGGGCTACTTGTGGACTACAACACTCAAAAAATAGTTATTTTTTTGTTAAGTACCAGGGTGGACCTGCGCTTAAGATTTTTCTTATATAGAAGGTTTTCATATTTAAAGAGCATGGGCACAATGAAGCCTGGGTTACTTCAGGGGCATTCTTAGATTATAATGAAACAATCCCAATTAATTCACTGTTCAATTAAAGTGTGGACAATACAAATCACACCATACATACATACATACATACATACCAAATATACCATACATACATACTTAGATTTTCCTTTATATCTCCCAGGAAACAGACTATTGCCCTCTTTATCCACAAGGCAGTTCATCATGCCAACTCTCATCATGTTACTCTTTTCTTTTATGGTAAACTGTTATCTTGTAACTGCTGAATTTAGTGGTATTTTTCTCCTGTTAGACAACTCCTATCTTTTCAAAAGAGAAACTAAACTTACTCGGTAAAAATGTAAATACCCCACAGTAAAAATGTATTTGATCCTGCTGAAGTCAAGAGACATATATGAATGCAACTGATGATAATTAAGAAACCATATTCATCAACCTTGCTTTCACATTCCTTTGGCTCATTTCCTTACAAATATTTTGACAACCACCAAATTACACATTTCACATACTAAATAAACATCACAAAACCAACACAAAACTCCTGATTTTTTTATTTCATTTGCAAAACTAGCATAAAAAAGAGATATATTGGGTTAAACCTCTGAAGAATCCAGGGGCAGCAATGGCACTAGGGTCCCACTGTAAGGCAGGCTGAAGCTAAATAGGTAGACAGTCTCTCTTTGATATCTACTGATATGGTGCAATCTGGCAAACCTGCTGCCCTGGCCTTTAAATTTGAGATATGAAAGCCCCAGTGCTGCAAACCCTTCCTGGAAAGTGCTGAGGGCAAATAGAATGCAAGCAGTGTTACATGGGCCAATAGCTCTTCATAATATGACTCTGAAAATGAAAATTTGATTTAGAGTCCTCTACGAGTACTATATCAAATTAATCAGGTGATCTAATAATATTGTTTCCATGGATTAGATCTCTTGGCTTGGTCTTGGGAAGCTCTATATATTATATAAATATATATATAAAAAAATAAATATATATATATGTTATATTGCCATCCAAAGCAAAAGATGAAAAATAAACAAACATGCCATAACTTTGAGTTCAATAATTAATTAAATAAAAAGATGTTACTTAAATTATTGTTAATATATATGATATTTTTTACTGTAATTGTATGAACTCCTAGACTATTGGGAATTAAGGCCATGCCATATGTCATTTAAAGGATCATTTCCCTTAAATTTGGCATAGGATCTTGGATTTGACCTAGAGCTTAATGTCTCCAGGGATTACTGATCACCATATATTTAGCTAGACAGATGGACGTTTACAAGCCCTGAATTTCTGTAACAGAAACAGCATGTAATTACAAAGATTGCACATATCAACATTCTAGTAACTCATTCAGCTTTATATTTTCAGGAGTGAGTTTTGGGTATCATGCTTGTGATTCCTTGAAAGGGGCAATTTTCAAAGAGCAGAATTCTTAACATGTGTTACAAATCTAGCTCTTTAGTGACTCCAAGCAGATTATTCAGAAATGGAGGTTTCAAATTACTATTCGTTTATGCTCCCAACTTTGAAGAGACATCTCTTAATTCTTGGTTAGGTGTTATAACTCCATTAGTTTGAAGGGAATGTAATTTAATTTCTGGAATGCAGATAAATTATACTGAATACTCCTGTTTTAAGGCAGCCTGAGAAATGGTCTCTAAGTAATATGAGTTTATGCTGAGTATTATAAAACTGTGTGCTATATTACACACTTACTATCAGTATTTATCTATATTGTGGCAAGGTCTGCAGTACTGATTATAAAACAGGGAACATTTGCAAAAACAAGTAATAAAAAGAAAACCCTTATTTAAAAGACCTAGGCAGATAGCTAGATGCTGTAATTTTATTCTGACAATTGGGGAGATTCTTCCTTTCCTTTCTCTTTCTCTGCAACTTGTCAAATTATTGGACTTGACATTATGTCTAGAATAAACAGACGCAGCCAGAGTGAAACTTTCATTCAGTGATATCTTCTTAGTAGTGGGTTTTTTTTAAGGATACAACGAATGGTCACACATAGATTATGTTTTCTTGGAGAACATGTAAAGGAAAATCTATAAAGAAATTAGTCTACATTCATAACTTCAGCTGTTACAATGAACATCTTTGGTGTCAAGTGCTTCATATGTAAGTGGCGACGGTGAACCATTTCTGGAGCACAGAGGAGATAGAAACAAGCAGGCTTCTATGTTGGAGCTGATCTGACTATGAGTTATAGGTATTATAACCAACTTTTCTCCCAAACCAATACCCCATTCCTCCAGAAATCTTAATAGGCTTTTGAGAGCCTCCATTTAAAGCTGGCTGCATAAAATGATCCTTTGATGAAAAGGGATTGAAACAAGGGTTAAAGTAGACATTGAAAGGTTATTGTAGAGGGCACATTGTTCATACAATCCCCCTTTAATATGTGTGGTGTGCACCTGCGATAAGATGATTCATTAGATAAGGCCTCACTTTGACAAGCTCCATCGTTCAACCCTCGGGGTAGTGATGGAACAATTCTGCACCCACCCAGTAAATATAACAAGGTCAGCATTTTTTTCCCTGGGACTTGGATGGTGTTAGTGAAGCTCAGGAAGCATCTTTGTTTATGTGTCCTGTTTAAAAAAAACAGGGGAGGTCCTATAAAGTATTGAATTTTATTTTTTAGTGGGCCAAAATAAAAAACATCACTCTTGTTCCAATTAACTAGCAATAAATTACCAGGAGAAGAGCTGTTCTTTCTTTTTTTTCTCTTCACTAGTAAACAGTAAGAGTAGAAACTAAATTTTAGATTCACGTATCATCCAAGCTGCATCATTTCAATAAATGTTTTTCAGGGCCTAACACACATATAAACATTGTGGGTATCACTGTATGCCCAATTTTTAGAATTTAGAATAATGACATTCAAATTACTCAGTTAGCAGTTACATTGACAGATCTGTTGCAGAGATCCAAGGCATTTTAGTCCTAATGAATTCAATAACGAATGAAAGTAGTCACAATTTGAAGGCCTCTTAAATATGGTTTATCAAAGGAATTATTTTTATATATATGGATTCAGATGCATATGTTTCTGCATCATACTAAGACTGAAACTGAAATTTTTAACAAATAAACAGCTCCAAAATGTAGGTAATGCACAGTCTCTCTCTTAGACACACTCACTATTAAATAATGTTCAAGTTCGTGTTTGGAAAATTTTCTTTAAACCAAAATAATCTTCCAAATTTGTATTTACAGGCTGGCATAGTCATTGCAAATTGCTTAACATAGTTAATAAACAAATGACGAAGCTACTCAGATAGCTCCATCACTGATACTTCATTACAATTTATTTTCCTTTACTGGAAACATTTAATGCCTTTTAAGAAATGATGTAATACCAAAATGCCACAGAAATGCAAAAAAGTGAAGCACCGTACCACTTCAGTAAAGGTGTCTGTTATTAGGCATATGTAAGTGGATAGAAGACAGATAGTATGGTTGTTAAAAATTACAGGGTTGCTGGACTTTTAAAATGGTAAAATAGTAGTGCATGGTATTGCACTACTATTGCACTACTGTGATATTTTTAAATGGCTGAAACAAAATAAAACAAACCCTTACCCTTTTCTACCTTGAAAACACTCTTTAAGAGTGCCTAACTGCCCTGTTTCTCAGACTTTCCATTTCTTACCTTGTCTGGCAAATCAATATTTATTTATCTTCAGCATGTGCACTTTTAAATTGCTGTCATACAGGCGGAACTGATTTTTGTCCCAAGATCAGCCTGCCATCAGAATTCACTGTTTGCTCCATCTTCTACTCACCTGTCCTTGTGCATTAGTGACGAGCTGGCCTGTGACCCCCTGAAGACTGGAGAGGGCATTTCCAAAGGCCTGGGAATTTGCTATTGAGCCCATGGCTGCTGCTGCTGCTGCTGCTGCTGCCTGACTTGCTAATGGATTATTAACCAGCTGAAAAAAAAGAAATAAAAGATAATGATAAAGCCCATGATAAACATATAATACTAACTGAATAATATAAATGTGATAGCACAGTAAGGTTTATGTTATTTTAATGTTTTTTACCCACTTAATTGTGTGTAAAAAATGTCTTCTCCAAGAGCTCAAGTTTGAGAGGTTCTTACTTCTGGGGCTTTGAAAACGAATAGTTTTTAAAAAGGAAGGGGAAATTCCATGTTGATGTTGAAGAATAAAATTCCCTTTTTTAACCATATATTCTCTCTCCTTTATTTTTTAATGGAGTTATGCTTGATGTGTTTCTTTAGGCACAAGTTGCTAATGCCACAGGTATAGCAGCTTAGTACTGCTGTAAAGAGCAATCAGTGAAAGATTAGCACTTGACTGGGAGTGGAATGTTTACCTGGGGATATTCAGAACTGAAACTATTTTACTGATGAACCCAAACCCAAGAAAAATCTGCAAATGAGCACAGTTTTTATAATTTTGATTTTTATCATTAAATAATTGGCCTCAATATCTAGATAAATCACATTAGAAGATTCAACCTTGTAAGTGAGGTCAGCAGATATCAACTAAAAATTCAAAATTCATTTGCAAAATATGATACTGAGCCACATGCTGCTTCTCAAATGTGAATGATTAGTTCCAGGACTCATAAATTTTCAGGAAATAATTTGTATTGCCTGCTTTAGTCGATTCTACCTAAATGCACCATAGAAAGCATAGAGCATGGTCATCACTTTCACCTGAAACACTAGGGGAATCTCATGGAGGAGCAGCCCTAAAAACTCCTGTGCTCATCAAGCATACAGAAGTGTGTGTTCTTCTGTCAGAATCAAAAGTTGTCTTGGACATGGCTTTTCCATTGGATTATTGGGAAGTTTCTATTTTCTTATCCTTTTCTGAGAAAGGACAAACTGAATCAAGCACATGGGGATGACAGTAAAAAAAAACAAAAACATTTGGAACCATCATCACTTGGATAGCTGTCGTGAGAGCAATCATACTGAGTTCAAGAAGCTGGAAATACATTTTGGAGTGTCTTTGCCTCCTAAGAATCATTGCATTATAGCAGAACTTGCAAAATATGCATGAGCAGGCTAGAGCAGCCAAAAATCTGAGGGACATAACAGTCTAGGGACATTTTTTCTTAGACTGAGATGAAAATGCTAGAGCTAACTCAGAAAAGCTTTATGTTTGAGCTGAAATTAGTAGGAGTTCTAAATCCTAAGATGACTAGTAAATTATCTATCTTTTAGAAATGAAGAGTCACAAGCAGGGGTAGGGGATATACTCCATAGACAGGCTCTGCTTCAAAATAGGCTATAAAAAATTAATCAGTGATTAGTAGATGTTTTAAGCATGTTACAGATATGAGTAGTGTGTATGTTATAGACGTTTAGAAGCTCATCAATAGAAGATGTCAGATATGGTTATAATCTATGCTTATAAGAAACCTACTTGTCTGTTGGACATTGCAAAATCTACAATTGATTGGTCATACATTATAACATCTATTAATCATTCATTAGCTTCTCATGAAGTATTTATAAATGCAACCTTGATATAAAGTGTTGCTTAAAGGGGTGCCTTGGGCATATCCAATCCCTCTAGAAATTGTAAAGTAAATAACTAAATAAAGATTAGTAGCAATGCCAGACAGAAAGGATGACATTGTTTGGAGGAAATATTTTTATTTGGAAAAAATTGTTATATGAATCTCTAAAAGTTGTTCAAAGCAACCCATGGCATGAAAATCAAGCAGGAATAAAACACAAAAGGGGAAAACTTCAATGTATGCCCTGATGAGTTGAGCTGTGAAGAGAACTTAGACCAGTACAATGACCAAAGTGAAGCTCAGTCCCTGAATACAAACTGCAAGAAATTCCACTGACTGCACAAAGGTGTGAGTGCAAAGGTAGCTGAATGCACTCTTCAGTCATTTGGGTGGTGGTGACTGAGCATGGCTGTGTAATGCCAGAGAACAATATAAGTAAACTGGTTGGTGTTCTGCTAAAAACAGTGTCATATCTTCATTGTCCAAATCAGAAGTTAGCAAACACTGCCTTTTTTTAATGGCACTTCATTGGCAGCACTGGGACTTGTAGAAATTCCCTTATAGCTGTAAATACTTAGAGAAGAAAGGAGCAGCAGCAAGAATGTTAGACCTTCAGAAAAGGTCTTCTACCATCTTATTAGCAACCCACAAATTACTGAACCTCTGATCCTACAGCATCCGACTGCAGGTATAAATTATAATATTTTGCCAGTTATCCAAAATCAGCTAATAAACTACACTAGGGGCTATATTATTCAGGGCTTCAGAGGTGTGTAAGAACAGCTGCTTGGGAAGCATAAATAAGCCTTGTGAATCTGGAAATTGCAAAGGGTTAAAACCTTCTAAAAATCAGACTATCACCTTCTAGAATCTCTTTTCAATTTTTCTTGCACCAGTTTTCAAAAAATGTACATTTTCAAATACAACAATAAAATTTAATTACAACAAACCCCAGAGACACTCAGGATTGCTTTTAGTTGCATCACAGAGATAAGCTACTTATTAAAAATGATGGCAGAGGCTGTGATATGCATAGTACCATGTTCCAGGAAAAAATACAGGGAACGGGCCAAATCGCAGGGTAAGAGACTTCAAAGTGCATATTAAACCATCCCTATCTATTCATAAGTCTGATTAAAAAGGAGAGGATGCATTTTTCTTTGAGTGCATTGGGGAGCTGTTGACTACAAGTTACGCTTTATTCAATTGACCCCTTTTATCTTGCATGCAAACTGAGGATGAAGAAATACATCTCATTTCATTATGTTTGGGCACCAAGATAACACATTGAATCTTTCTTTTATTCAAAAAATAAGATCTCTAACTTGAGATGTTTATGCAATTTCTCAGTGAAGGTTGGATCCCTAAGAATGCATTTTGGAAATATTGGAAATATATTGTGAAAAATCCTGCAAAGGGCTCTTCCTATTTTGTTTCTGTATTTAAATAATGTTTTAATTTGAAAGGCTGAGATATTTGGACCTGTTGACTCCAGTGCCCAAAATATCTTCTCCAACTCAAACCACCAGCCATAACAGTAAATAATAGTAATTTTTGTTTAAACTGACAGGCCAGCCCTCTTATGACACCTCTGCTAATGACATGATTCTATAAGGAAGCAAATTTTATGAGGAAGAATCTTCAATAACTGAGTAGGCTTAGTACATTTCTCTGAGTTTAGAAAGCTGAAGTATTAAAGGTACAACACATGAAAATTTTCTACCTTAAGTCAGTAAAAGCAGAAGACATTCCAGTGCATCAAACAGAATTCACACAAATAAAACAAATCTGAGAAACTCTGGTGAATGAAAGAGGCACTAACAAGATCCTAAAACTGTGCCATGCAAAGTGAGAGCTTCTATGGTTAAGTCATAGTCTTCAAAAAAAGCAATTTGAAGAAAAGTGTGATGGAGTCAATATTACAAACAGCTCTCTTGAGAGCCACAAATACTTTTTTCTTTTGGAATAATACCATCTTACTCTTTATTTTGAAAACTAATTTAGTATTTAATTTGAGTTGCTGTGAGAAACTGACCAAGCATTCATCTATTTTTGAATACAAGATCAGATTTGATAACCTACACAGTAGGTAGGTACTTTCCTTTATAAAAGGCATGTCCTACTGAACTTTCAGTCTCCTGGTCTGGAAATCAAAGAGTCAGTTTTAGTCATTACAATATCATTCAGTCAACAAATTAAAAAAAACAAACAAACAAACAAAAAAAACCCCAAAAAAACCAAAAAAACCCCAAATAGTTTTACTAGTGAAAAGTAAAGACACTTCAGGATACCAGAGCATCACATGGAAAAACGGGCATGTAACCAGAAAGGCAAAGTCACTTTATGCTGTGCCAGTGTATAGATCTCATGTGTTTTCTAAAGCACTTGTGGAGGAGGCTGAGTAAAGTCATGCTGCTATCTGAATGCACAGTGGAGAATTTGAAGGACATATTGCAGAGTAACTTCTGGCATAACTTCATTTTATAAAATAGTATTAGTGTTTTTCAGAAAGACTGTTAAAAATCACATTTCAGGATATGTCCCAGTGATGGAATTAGTGTAAAAAAGTATTATATTTGATTAGGGACCAACAGATCCTCAGTCTCTTATGTTCTCTGACAAGCTCTTCTGTAGGGAGCATCACACTACTAGATTAGCTGCTGACATTATTTGCTTAAACCAATACTTTTCAAGGGAAAACAAATATCTTTAACCATTGATAAGAATTTAGCAATGGCTCTCAGTCAGAAATACATGACATTTTTCTTTTCTACCCATAATGAGTGGAAATTTTATTCACAGAAATTATTTTTTTTATCAGCATGGCATGTGCTTTTGTAGGAATTTTTAGACAAGAATTTACCTGAATTTTATTGTGTTTAGTTGATGAAAGTATTACAGGTCAAAATATAGTGGGATTTATTCCCATTTTTTCTCAGAGGCTTGTGAGACAAATTCTGGGTAGTAGTCACTAGACCTTAAGGGTAAAGAATATTTCATACTGATCACAGGCTTCTGAGGATATTCTGATACCTTCATTGTTATAGTGACTAGCATTATCATCTGTATTGGGTGTAGATGGAAAGGTTTTGGTAGTGGAGCAGCTGCAGAGGGGAAAGATTAAAAATAGAGTGAACAAAACAAAGGGAACAGCAAGATCAGAGAAAGGAGAAGGAGTTGTCCCACAGCAGTGAAAGTGTTCCTACTGTAGCCCTTGGAGGACCCTAGAGTGGGCAAATTAGTAGTTTCCTGATGAGAACTGTGATCCATGGAGTACCTGTGAAGGAGCAGGTGGAAAGTGGGAAGAGAAAAGAGCAAGAGAGAGGAACTACTAAGGACTGACTATAGCTCCCCATTGAGAGTGGGTAGAAAAGTCAGGAGTGAAAGAATGAAGTCTGGGAGAGTGGAGAGACAAGTTATTTTAATACTTGTC